TTTTAAATAAAAGTTTTTAGATTTATCTTGTTCAGACAAAAGTTTATTTTTCTGAGTAAAGAGAGAGAAATTGTCTTACCTTTTTGACGGTTTCAGCCAGGTCAGAGGACTTTGTTTTGAAATTTTCCTGAACGGATCAGCTGTTTGAGACACTTGACACCAGGAAACGGTGACAACTCTGGCAAAGTCTTGGAATGACAGCAGAAATTGTGGGCAAGTGAATTTCTCTCTCTACCACGGTGGCGGGGGGGCTAGAATTGTCTCGCAAAAGAAAGCTACTGTAAAACCTAATGCTCTGTCAGGGCTTCACTGTAGCTACCTTCACATGCTGCCTGTTGTGGGTCTTTCTGTTGACAAGACGGAAGTCAAGCCAGCCGCCACAACGATTGTTCACCCTGTGCATTGTGGTAGAGCGCTTCTTGTGCATGAAACATGGTGTCCTTGGGCACAATGTCCCCCGCTTTCCTAGGGACCTACAGTTGTTGAAGTTCTGCCAGAGGTGGCAGTTGAAACTCCTTCTGACAGGGGATTCTGCCAGACGTTCCCAGCAGTCCCTCACAAAACCTTCACGTTTGAGCCGACCAGGTCGGAGCAGCGTCCTCCCCCAGCAACGGAGCCAACACACCATCCGCTTCTCTCTTCACCGAAGTGTCCAAGATATATAGCCCCTAGTCTGATAACACAACCACAAAGTCTACCATCGAATTGCTGCCTAGCATTTCCTGGTATCAAGTGGACACACTTGTGCTTGAACATGTTGTTCATGACTGAAAATCCATGACAACCACAAAAGTCCAATAACAGAACACCGTTGGGGTTCTGATCGGTGGGGACCATTGCCTCCAATCATGCCTTTCCAGGTCCACGTTAGCATTGAAGTCCCCCAGCAAAACTATTAAGTCCCCATCAGGAATGCTTTCCAGCAGTCAGGACCCCACCCAAAAGCGGAGGGAGTCTACTCGCCCATCCACTGGGGTGTACCCCAACGACAGGCGCCAAGCCGGGGGGCAATATGTATTACTTCACCTGCCAGGTGGCTTTCACCTTGGGCAACTCCAGAGTGGAAGAGGGTCCAACCCCTCTCGAGAAGAGTGGTATCACAGTCCGAGCTGTATGTGGAGGCACGTCTGACTAGATCTATTCTTGTCTACCTTCCCTGCCAGAGAGGTGACATCCCACCTCCCTAACAGATTCTGGAGCAGGGGATCAGACCGCATTTGGTCGCCGCCCTGCTCACACTGCACCCAACCCATTTGGCCCCTCCCACAGGTGGTGAGCCAATGGAAAGGGGGGTTCCACGTCTTTCTTTTGGGCTGAAGCCATCCAAGTGTCATGGGTGCAGGCCTGACCAACAGGAACTCGCCTTCAAGCTCCACTTCCAGGCCTGCATCCAGAAGTGGGTCCGAGTGACCCGCCTCCTGGCAAGGGAAAAACAATGTCCAGGTCTGTTCATTGAACTATGCGGCCAGGATGGCCATTTTTCTCTCAGAAACTCTCTTTTTGTATTTTTTTGATCACGAAAATAAAATTAGCTTGCATTTTCAAATTTCTATTTTGTAACTCCTCTTTTTCCTCCAGCATCAACAACCCCCAGATTTCAGTTGTTGATGCTGAGGGTGCCCCAACCAGTTTTTAGTTCTTCGACTTACTTCGACTTAATTTGTTTATTGAACATATATAAAACATACAATAACAGATGACAAAATGCAAACAAAAATTATGAAAGGAAAATAAAAGTAAGTAATACAAACATCATCACAGTTATATGTTCAAAGGAGTAGGAAGAAGTATACAACTTATCTAGCCCTACCCCTTGTTGTGCAATAATGTATATTGATCATTTCCAATACCAAAGAAAAGGAAGAAACTAGACATGGTTCTAGATGGCAGTACCTTTTCACAAAGACTTTTATTCCTCTTAATAATTAAAATCATGCATTTTATGTATATTTGGGTTGTCTTTGATATTTCCAACTCCTAATTCCAATGAAATTGGGATGTTGTGTAAAGCGCAAATAAAAACAGAACACAAAGATTTGCACATCCTTTTCAACTATATTCTCTTGAAGACTGCTGTCAGTCTCTGGAATAGACAGACCTGAAAACCTGGACTCACCCCCACTCACCCATTTTTAATAAGCTTATATTTATATTTTATATTTATTTATATACTTGTTGTCTTCTCCTTTCTCCCTTTTATAATTTTGCTGCTGAATATTGGGAATTTCCCTATTGTGCGACATTGTGTGTTTTGTATTTTGCGCTTTTATAAGCGCCGCATTTTCAGTGGGAGACAGGTCTGGACTGATGGCTGACCAGTCTAGTACTTATTCACTCTTTAACTACAAAGCCACGCTGTTTGAACCCATGCCGAATGCGCCTTGGCATTGTCTTGCCGACATACACAGGGACGTCCTTTATAAAGGCATTGCTTAGATGGCTATGTTCGATCCAAAAAAAAAAGAGCTAAATCTAATCCACGTACTGTATTGTAATGCTGAAGAGTGTAGCACTCTTTATGAAATCACAGCATAAGATGGATGTGTGTGTAAATGTATTCAGGGTTGTGTGTATGAACGTGTGTTGGAAGCTGTCATATTACCCACTGCGGCACAATGAGCTGGTCTCACATATCAACTGTGGAAAGTCCCTGGATAATTACACTGGGAGTAGACTGACTGTCTCTGGTCTTCCCTCCTCCGTCCTCACTACTTCCCTTTTTAGTTGGGGGACGTCCTTTACAAAGGCATTGCTTAGATGGCAATGTTCGATCCAAAAAAAAAAAAAGCTAAATCTAATCCACATACTGTATTGTAATGCTGAAGAGTATAGCACTCTTTATGAAATCACAGCATAAGATGGATTTGTGTGTAAATGTATTCAGGGTTGTGTGTATGAACGTGTGTTGGAAGCTGTCATATTACCCACTGCGGCACAATGAGCTGGTCTCACATATCAACTGTGGAAAGTCCCTGGATAATTACACTGGGAGTAGACTGACTGTCTCTGGTCTTCCCTCCTCCGTCCTCACTACTTCCCTTTTTAGTTGATATATTTACACCCAAGCAATAAGATATGTTCCAGTCTGAGCTAGACGCACTCCCAAGTTGAAAGTTGGAAGAGTCATTCTAGTGTGTGTTCAGTGTTTATTCAACATAAATATAGTAAGAGCTTTGGGGCCACGGTTTTTCTGCTTCTGTTCCAGGATCAATACAACAAGCTTTCACTTTCTCAGGCTACATTTTGATCGCGTGTGCATGTGAGAGTGCGCGCAGCTTGACGTCCAGGGGAATTCACAGAAGTCTATTTCCACGCCGCTGCATATCTAAAAGTGAAAACACACACAATGTTCCCTGGCTGGATCACAACACGTTGTTCCTGCTCGCCACAAAGCTGGACCTCAGTGTTTACAGTAGAATTGGACATGCAGGTGCCTGAGAGAGTTTCATTGGTCTCTGGCAGTATGTTGTATGTCTTTTTTGGTTACCACAGACTTCCTCCTTGCTTGAGTGGCAGCTCAAGTATTTGCTGTTTTTCGGAAAATGCTAGTTTATTGTTAAAATGGATGATCATAGCCTTGTTTTGTTTAGTTATATATATCAAAGCAAAACATGTTTCCAATGAGGGGTTTTTAAAATTCTTTTTTCTCATACACTATTTCAGTATTGAGTACGGTCGGGATGGTTCATTTTGCAGACTGTCGTCTGGCAGTACACATTTGTATTTAGGAATGGAAGGAACAACCAGGTACACTTTTATGTTTTATATTACAGGCCTGTGATCATTTAGATTCCATAATTTGAACAGCAATACTTCCAGATGGAGCTCAGGCTCAACTTCAAACCACAAAAAACAACAAACCTCTGAATTTAAAAGAAAACTTTGTTCAGTACTGTAAAAAATATATCTTTTGCATGATCAACGTATTTGTGTCTCCTTAGGAATTGGAAAGTTTCAAGGCCTTTGTGAGGATGAAGCCAGCGTTTGATGTAGTCGTGGACGGTCTTAATGTGGCAAATATCAACAAGGACAGAAGCAAGCAATCGGAGATGGTAAGGACACATAAAACAAAGAATTTCATGCACGGGAAGCCATTTTAGTTCCACAAGCACAGTTTTACCATTTTCGGGGGTATCTCCATACTCGGGGCTTTTTTTGCAGGTCGCACAATGACTAATGAGTCATTGCATCAACATAAGTGTGTGGGAGGTGCCTCTTATAACACACTGTTTTAAACACCACCTTGCCTTCCCACATCCTTCTAGGCTTCTATTCGATTGTGACACACGTATCGTATGTGATCTTTCGCACATTGACTTTAAGTACAAAGACTTTTAGAATGATCAGAAAGCGATATATCGATCCATTTTTGATACTGCTTTATCCAATGAGCGTTGAGGGTGAGCTGGACCCGATCCCAAAGGACTTGACTTATTCACCACTCGGTCGCTGGACACATTTAGATACAAACTGAAGTACCCTTCATTCACTTTTATTTGAAATCATTCAGCTAAAATGTCCTTTTTGTTGATGATATTTTAATCTTAACTGTGGTATGGCATGTCTGACAATACCTCAAACCATACAAAGAATACAATTGGTTATAAGAGCTATTTGGTGTACACATCTTACTGTAATTGATCTGGTGTAAAAGATCAACATGTTCTTTATTAGCCAAGTAATAAAAAACATGAAAGGAATTTGTCTCCAATACTATGAGCCAAAGTAGTATTGCAATAACGAGCAACTATAACAAGAAGAATATTTAGGACGTAACACGTAAGTACAGAGAGTCTTTACGTAACGTAATGGTAGCTGTGCAAATGACGCAGAGAGTCCAAGCTACAACAGTCAATATTGTAATACTTTCACACAGGGATGTGCAAAAAAGCTACAATAGTGATGTTCATGCATTTAACACGCTGCAAAAGTGCGTCCCATGCCTCCGCGTCAGGTCTCCCACTAAGGTAGGCAGGGATTTGCTTTTCACAAACCCAACAAACTCCTTTATGTACTTTATTTTTCTGTTTCGTTCATGTTAGGGGCCATGATGGCTGTCGCTCATCATGGCATGCTTGCGCACGTGCGTGCGGGCATATGCGCGCGTGTGTATGTGTGCACGTGCAGGAACGGTCGATCGCAGAGGGTTGGTTGGCTTGAAAAGTAGATCTTCGGTCAAGAAAGGTTGGCCACACTTGTCCCATAGGGTTTTTTGCATGTGTTTCAGTTGCTGGCAGTGGTATCGGAGCTCAACCTACAGGGCCTTACTGTTCTGGTGCTGGGGAGGAAACACATGCTGCGACCCTCTAGATCTTGGGACAGACACAACATGAACCTTATCCAGCAGAAAGCTCATTGCTTTTTTACTGACAACATGTAAGGAATAGAGTAAATGATAGACACACATTGCTATGAAGCTCTCTATTTAGAGCTACTCATTTTCGTTTTCCCAACCCTTTCCATCAGTTCTGAAGACGATCCCTTCTTGCTATATGCCACTTTGCATTCGGGTAACCATTGCCGCTTCGTGAGTAAGGACCTGATGAGGGACCACAAGGCTTGCTTGCCTGATGAGGCCACCCGGCGACTCTTCTTCAAATGGCAGAGGGGCCATCAGCTGGTCGTGCATGGACATATCTTGGCAGGGAGGAGGGTCCGATTTCAGGTAAGGTGGAGGAGCAAGGACACGAGAGAGAATGTGAAGATGCTTATTTAAAATGTGTTTGTGTGTTTAGAACATTCCCAACTGTGACACCATTGTGCAGACATCGGGAGACACCTGGCACATCCCTTATGATGACACAGAAGACCGGAGCACTTATGAAGTACCACAGAAATGGTTGTGCATTACCAGAATGCCCTGAAAACATACCCAATCCCTGCAATTGGCTTGCATCCGGTCCAGGTTGTACCTTGTTAGGGCCGGCATTAGCTCCTGTTATCAGCCACTCTAAGGAGGACATGCTCAATAAATTCATCATGTCTGTACTTTTGAATAAAAATATTCAAAGACTTTGCTTTTCGATATACGTTGATGGCCTGGGGGGGGGGCAAATTATGATTTTGATCAAGACCTTGTTGCAATTTGCTAATAAAGTTTATATAAAATATGACCCAGATGTTGCTGGAGCCTTCCATTTGGCAAAGCACTTCAGTGGAAGATGCGTTTATATTTTGAAAGTATATTATGCCCATTTATGTTTAGTGTTTAGGTGCAGTTTTTAAGGCTAAAACTATTGCCCAGGGGCAACTGAAATTAATCAAACTCATGCATGTTTATGCAAATGAGGTTTAGATCATTACAACACTGTTGAGATGAGTACACTGTGATGCAGACGTGGCCGTCATGCGTGAACAATTTACAGCATTTTAAACGCCTGACTTTCAATGAGGCGAGTAAATAGTCATTTTTTTCTGTATGCAATTCCTCAGAGGATGCATTCAAGGCTATCAGCCAAGGAGAAGCGACCTCCGAAGCAAGCAGAGAGGAAGGACTGTGCTGGGGTCACCACCTAGAAGTAAAACCCAGTCAGTATATGGACACGGTCACATGAAGCATTGAGCTCATACATCACTAGTCTCGCTTAGTTCTTTGTCATGTGTTCTTCAGAACAAGCGGCAAGACGTTAAGACAGTCACATCTATTCATTCAAATGGCAGAGAACGTCGGCGGTGTCCTATGAGGCGAGTAAATAGTCATTTTTTTCTGTATGCAATTCCTCAGAGGATGCATTCAAGGCTATCAGCCAAGGAGAAGCGACCTCCGAAGCAAGCAGAGGAAGGACTGTGCTGGGGTCACCACCTAGAAGTAAATACCAGTCAGTATGTGGACACGGTCACATGAAGCATTAAGCTCATACATCACTAGTCTTGCTTAGTTCTTTGTCATGTGTTCTTCAGAACAAGCGGCAAGACGTTAAGACAGTCACATCTATTCATTCAAATGGCAGAGAACGTCGGCGGTGTCATGATAAGCATGACGGTCAAGCCGACTATAAACACGGGATCAAGATTTCTTCCAGTTCCAGTTTGTTATCTTTAAAATGTAAGGAGTGTGATCACCCACATGCGACCTTTTAGAAGAAGCTGACTTTTCTTATAGAGGGAAGTTTATGTAGTTGGTGACATTACAGTACAGTTTTCAGAAGGGTAACTAAGTAATGAGAATGTATCCGATGATATACTGTCTTCAAAAGATTTTTCATTTGTACCATCTTGACTTTTTTTGTAATGTATCCAATCCATGCAGTCACCTGTTGACCTCTCAAGATGACCTCTGGTCTCAGGTGCAGTGGATGCACGATAAAGATGCAAACTGAATGAATGTACAGTTAAATTCACGAGATCCCTATTGGCAACGCTTGACTGACATCTCTCAACTCCACACACAGGATGCTGAGATGAAAACGCAAGCATGCTGTGTGGTGTGATCAGTATTAAAGGCAACGTTAGGAATTCTTCCCTCATAATTTCAACCAGTTCCTCTGTACCAGTTCCTTGTTGTACTTGCCTACCTACACACCCACTCCAGGCAGCATGCAGTCGCCTGTTGACCTCTCAAGATGAGCTCGGGTCTCAGGTGCAGTGGATGCACGATAAAGATGCAAACTGAATGTAGAGTTAAAGTCACGAGATCCCTGTTGGCAACGCTAAACTGACATCTCTCAACTCCACACGCAGGATGCTGAGATGAAAAGGCAAGCATGCTGTGTGGTGTGATCAGTATTAAAGGCAACGTTAGGAATTCTTCCCCCATAATTTCAACCAGTTCCTTGTTGTACTTGCCTACCTACACACCCACTCCAGGCATGATGATGGTAGGAGTGCATGAGGAATTGGGTGTGTCACCGTTTGAGTGTGATCAGTCGAACGCTTTCTTGGTAAGGTCACCACAGCAGAATTCAAGCTGGCAGGTGTCGAATGTGAGATTCAGGAAGAGCACTGTGCTTTGTGAACTTGGAGAACGTTTTCAACTGTCCCTCGGGGCTCTTGTGGAGTCTGCTACTGTTACAGGAGTATGATTTACCAGACCTCCTAATACGAGCTGTTCAGTCCCTGTACAATTGGTGTCAAGAGTTAGGCCTGCATTGTCAAATAGGTTTCAAGCCATTAGTTGGACTCAGACAAAGCTGCCCTTTGTCATTGATTTTGTTCATAACCTTTATCGACAGAATTTCTAGGCACAGCATAGGCGGTTGTGGGGTTCTGGTTTGGTGACCTCAGTATTGCATCTCTGCTTTTTGCCGATGATGTGCTTCTTTGGCTTCACCAAGCTACAACCTTCAAATTTAATTGCAGTGGTTCGTAGCCTTGTGTGAAGTGGTGAGATTAAATCAGTATCTCTAAATTTTAGACCATGTTCCTCAGTCAGGAAAAGGTTGAGTGCCCTGTCCGGGTCGGTGATGATATCCTGCCCCGAGTGGAGGAGTTCAAGTATTTTAGGGTTTTGTTCAGGAGTGAGGGGAAAAATTGAGTTGGAGATCAAGAGGCATGCACTCTTCACGGTCGGTTATGGTGAAGGAGCCGAGTCAAAAGGCAAAGCTTTTGATTTACCGGTCGATCTATGTTTCTACCATCATCTATGGTCATGACCAAAACAAGATCCTGAATAAAAGCGGCCAAAATGAGTGACCTCTACAGGGTTCCCAGCTATCCCTAAGAACAGGGGTGGGCCATTCTGGTCCTCAAAAGCCAGTATCCTTGATTTTTTATATGTGTCCCTGCCCTAAATCACCTGATTTTGTCTTTATGGCTAATACAGAAGCAAAGATAGGGGCCTCACAAGTATGGTCAGCAGTCATTTTGAATAAAATGTGCATATTCAAGTGTGTGTGTGTGGTGGTTTTTGTGTGTGTTTGTTTTTTTTTTAACCATTAGGCCTTTCATAGGTAAGCTCGTTTTTTTTTTTGTTTTTTTTTTCAAAAGTACACCGCATGAATTGACATCCACATAGAAAGCACATGCAGTCATGTTAGTCACTCCCTCTTTCAATCCACAACAGATTCTAACATTTCAGTGTACTTGTGTTATATTGTGAAGTGTTCCCTTTCAAGCTTCTGGAATGGAATATAAATGTATTTATCATTGACTATCTGAAGTATGGATCCTTTGACTCCTTATGGCTGCTAACCAAAAAAAAAAAATGTAAATGAATGTTCGTACCATTGAATGCTGACCAGTTATTTTGCAGATAAGCAACGTTGCCTGCTCATGCACTAGACTGCATTCTGTGTAGCTGCTCAAAATGCTGATTGTGCTGACCTTAACCTTCCCCAAAGAAAACGAGATGACAAGAGAGCGCAAGATGCGGGGGATGGGGAGAAGGGTCCCTTGATCTGTGAATGGTGTCTCCATGTTTTTTTCTTTGTCAAATAAATCTCATCATTTTTAATAATACTTGTCTTGGTTTCCCTGGACAAGACATTTATTATAATAGTTTTATAGTTTAATCGTTTTGTTCTATGCAAACTTTGCTCAGGTAAGAATACTGATGATGATATTATTTAACCCTTTTCATGCAACCTGTAACCTGATAACATGATAAGCTCTCCACTGTAGTGACCGCCATCCCTGAAAGGGTTAAATTGTTCTAAACGTTCTTGGATGTTAAAAGTGTTCCAAAACATTACATACACAATAACCAGTGCTTCTTTGTTTTAATATGTAAGACTATGAGCGAAATTTCTGCTAAAACTGTCATGACATATTTAAAACGGGTATTGAACATCATTTCCTTTTGAATGAGGAATACGGGTATAGAAAATGGATGGATAAATTGTTGTCTTTCTTAAAATAAAAA